AGGAGAGATTTATTGCCAATAACTGCTGCGTGCCCAGCCTACAGACGCTCCTACTGCAATATCCCTGGCTAGTGCCTGTGCTGGGAACCCCCTTCTTTCCCGCACCGGGAGGGGAAAGGAGAAGTGCCTCATCACTGGCCCTCCCCTGCCACCGGCTCCTGCTGCCACCGCCTTTGCTGTCCATTTTGACAAGGAAAAAATGGCCATCCTCCATCCCACCCAACTTTGCCACCACTGAGCTTGCCCCCGAAGGATGAGAGACAAATGCTCGGTAGGGCACGGGCTGGGAACGCTGAGAAACTGAGTCGGCCTCCAGCAAACTGGAGAAGGCACAGGGAGGCCATCCATCTCTCCCATAAGCAGAGCAGGAGCACGGTACCCTGCTTGGTTGTTAGACACCCTGGTTGTTTAGGTGGCCCTCTTTAAGGGGTCTGGGCCTTGAATTTGCAGGCTGCAGCTGGTGCCTTAACCTTTGAAGACAGCTGCCAGTGCTCAGAGACCCCCAGCGTGCTAGGTATGCTTGTGGAGGAAAATACTTCTCACATACAATAAAAGCCAATTGTTAACATTTTACAAATGTGGAGAACAGATGTGAAACTCGCACCCTCTTTTTCCTTAGTTTTATTCACATGCTGGAGCCCATGAATGAAAGGACAGCTCTTTGGCTGGAACTTACCATGCTGTATCATGTGCTTGAAATGGTGCTCATACCATAGCTAGCATTGTTCCCCGGTCAGTAGGGCTGTGCCTTTCAGCAAAGGTATTGAGTAGAAAAATGCCATCAGGTAGGTTAACTCATTCTCTATTCACATCTGACATTATTTATGAGAAACATAGTAAAATGTTACTTTTTCTGTTAAGACTTTGTGCCCTAATAGCATATGCAATGTAAGATAAGGTACGACAGTGGAGCTTCCGCTGGCTGTTACTGGCTTCAGCTCCACTATTATGAAGACGCTATATAATATGCTAGAAATGTGGAAGAAGACAGATCTGCTACTGACTTCTCACATATTAGAGAAACACATGGCTCCATGTGAAAATCACCTTGCTTCGGAAATATATTAATCACCACACATAGTGTCTGTTAAATTATACTATTTCCTGCCTTCATCATATCTGTCATATTTTTCTAGAAATAGAAATACCACCGTGTTTAGCTCTTT